CGGAAGCGACATCTTGCGGGTGGTAGGTGGAAATACACAGTTCGAATAATTTATATATTTCTCAATAAGTTAAATACAATATAATCAACATATTTATATAATAATAACTAGTAATAAAGATATTTTAAGCGTTATCTTGTCTGCCCAAAAGTGAGCCTCTTGTGAGTTTGTGCTTACGTATTTTCGGAATCGGCTGCTGATCTTCATCGATCATCTCCAAGTTGTTGTTTAATTCGTCACGCGAACCAGATACATAAATAGATTTCCTTTGGTTGAACTCTAGCAAATTGTCGTTAGATCCAGCGATGTACATTGATTTGGACTCGTAGAAGTGCACGTCAGTGACTCCCGACAATTCATCTGTATTGTTATTATGATCGTCCAAAAGAACCGTCTCTTCCTTCCTCTCATGATCATCATCTACTAATACTGACGCATCCTCGCTTACGACATTCTCATCACCTTCAACGACCTCCGCTTTAATATCTTTATGTTGCACCGCAACATCATCAATATTTTCAATAATTGATATAATTATCTCTGCCTCAATTTTAACATCGGCTAATTCAGTTTTGTTAATTGTTTCTAAATCACTTTGTGCAACATTTGTGCTTTCAACAACCTCGTTAATTTGTTTCTCATAATTAACTGTCGGAATTTCAGGATCGTCATTCGAATGATTCTCAGCGACATTCAAATTATTGTCATTCGCTATTTTTTCCTCGCATACTATTTTCACTTTCTCGCTACTTTCATTATCTGTTGGTTTTTCGTTATCCTTATCAGCGTTATCACCAAGTATCACGTTCTGATCGGTATTATTTATACTATCACTATGTGCATTATCGTTCATTGCAACATTCCTATTTGTATCCTCGCCTTCTTCTTCTTCAACTTCTTCTTTTATGTCGTTGGTGCATAGCTTTTGGATTTCGGCTGTCATCTCTTGTATGTCTTTCAAATGATCGGTACTAACGTCTTCTTTGGACGGCTCATGATCATCATTGAATTCCGTCTCCGTTTCGGATGCGTAGTTTGAGATGTCCGTATCGTAGGAGTTTAAGCTCCATTTGGAGTTATGATGATCTGGGACGCTAAGGAGATTACCTTCGGACTGTAATAAAAAAATATGGTCTTTATTAATTTTGCTGTTAAAGTGAATTGCTTATTTCATTTACCCTATTCAACTGAGGGGGTAGAGGTGCGCGTTTCTTTCTCCTGTGTCGCTTCCTGAGGGTATCCGTCGCAGGTATTTCTTCCTCCGCAAACGGATTGAGTGGAGATTTATCGGTTTCGTCGGGCTTCTCGTCCGCATCTTCCTCGAAGGGGTTCGACGAGTTTAATTGATCTGTAGCGCTCGGACATAAAGTTTTAGCATGATTTACTCTCTCGTTAAACCTGGAGCGTGGAAGCACCAGAGTGTTCGATCGTTGAACGGTGTTTGGCTTCCGCAGGGCAACAGTTTCCGTTCCTCGATGATTGAGATGAGCCGCACCCGCTGCGAAAATAATACGGAATAATATAAATAAAAGAATCCGGCACCGAGGATTATCCCATCGCCGCAACTTAGAATTAAGTACGGGATATCACATCCCACCAACAGCACTTAAGACAAAAACTGCGCGTAATCTGACGCAATCATGTTTACAAGTGAAAAACTGCTTATCAATTACTAAGAAATTACCTGATTGATCAGTGCGCCGCACCTCCACCTTCTTGTCATCCCTATTCTTCAAACGGAACGACTGCCGCCTGAAAAACGAGAATCAATCATACGATAGATCATAATTGGTAAACTGATTAGCATTTATAAATCCCCACATGCAGTCGTGAATTTATTTTCGAATGTGATGTAATTGGATTTAATGAAATTCAAAGGTCAGTGCGAGTCCGACAATAAAGTTGCGACGCGCTCGCGACTTCGAGAAGATACAACTAGATTGATACACTTTCCCCTCAAAACAAACTGATTGGCTCTGATTAATTGGAGTCAATCGATTTGAACTCTTTGTTGACAGACTAGTAAACAAATCACTTAGTGAACAAGTTTGTATACATACAGCGTTCTCTTCAAGTTCCGGAAGGAATTTCCGATGGCGGAGCGCTTTTTCGGTTCTTTGAACGGATTCAAGTGCTCCGGGTATTCCGTTGCGATGTCGTCCTCACCCATTTCACGCGGTGAATAGAAGCCAAGTTGTCATTCTCTTCATGCACTTATCACTAAGGACGATAGTAATGAAATGACAAAACTCATTTCACGGTCCCCCACCTTTCCGCATGACGCATAAACGCTATGTACGTAGAATTCAAATTGATTGCCGATAATGGAAAGAGATGCGCGCACGTTACGCCAACGGTAGAAAGCGATAGACTTATGTACATTGTGATTTTTTTTTGTTTGGGGAAAGTGGAGATTAAAATAAACCGCAGTGAGCTATTATTAAATAACAGCGCAGTGTGCGATGTCATTCTGGTTGCCAACATTCTTCGTCCTTCCCAGACACCTAGAAACTGCTAGCTCAACTTATTCACATTGTGGGTTGTGTGGAAGGTATAAACAGTAGACTATTGATTGACTCGACAACGTTTCGGGCTGTGGCCAACTGTCTCTGTTGTCAGTTGTAAATATATTACTCGCATAGTAAAAGAATTAACCAATTCCCACTTGCCTCGTCAACCTGTGATCGCTTCCGCGTTAACTGATACACCGTTAAACTCTAGTCAATAATGTTTATCCTCAACTTAGTTCAGTAGTCCAACATGTATATTTAGTGCGGAAGTTTAACCTTCATATACCTGCTAGTTAGTGTAGAAGAGTTGATAAAATGACTCCGCCCCCTATTGTAACAGGGTTATCGCCTAACGAAGGACCTCCTGGCACCAAAATCACAATTAGAGGGGAAAACTTTGGTACCAAACCTACAGATCTTACAGGTGCTTAAATTAACCCTGATTCAAAATACCAACTACATATGTCTGTTCTTTGTAGGTTTAAAGGTGTGTGGCTGTGACTGTTTATTGTCAGCTGAATGGAAATCACCAAACAAGATCATTGCCATATCTGGCCCTGGTAAGGGCAAAGGGGATATTATAGTTACAACTAGGTTAGGTGGTGAGGGAGTGTGCAATGTCAGCTTTAAAGGTAAATTGAATAATAACATCAGTCTGTTAAATGAGGTGTTTGAACTGATTAATAATACTAGGTTATTATGAGACTGTTGGGTCTTTGAAGGAGAGTGCAGTATGGGTGGAAGAGGCTCCATACTTTGGAGGCAAGCACTCTCTTTCATCAAGCAGTTACCAACAAGAAGATCCACTAGGACTATCAGTTGAAGGCAATGATAAGAAATTCCCAGAAGATGACTTAAAGGAATTGTTCCCTAATTCCTCTGGGAACATAGCATTGGAAAATTTCTCACCTGGATGGTTTCTGCTTGAAAACCATCATGTCACTTCTTTCAATGATTTGAAGGCTGGGTCAGCGTCTTACTACCTTTTTAAGTTTACATAATATTAATAAGAAAAAATTGCAGTCTCTTGCATCTTAGAAGGAAAGTGGAAGGTCAGAAAGAAGGTCAGTTATCATTCTTGAAATCTAACATTTCATCGGTCGTCGACCAATTGGATACCATCGGTTCGATGAAAGACAAATTTCGATGCGACCTAACGGAATACGGAAACGAACCAACTTTGAAACTGGATAAGTCTATCAAGGAATGCGAACGAGACGCGAGGAAGTTATTCGATGATGTTTTAACGCGTCGTGATCGTGCGGAGAAGACTCGTAACGCATTGAACGTCTTAGCCCGATTTCGGTTCTTGTTTTGTCTTCCTTGCGTGATCGAACGAAATATTAAAAAAGGTGATTACGAAATCGTGATCAACGATTATATGAGGGTTAAAAATCTGTTCAACAAAAGCGATGTGGCTGTGTTTAAAACGGCGCTGAACGAGATCGAAAAAAAAGTTGCAGGTTTACAAAAAATGCTTCACCAGAAGTTGGTGCAAATGCCGATAAGCGTAGAAGAACAGAAGCGTCTTATAAGACATCTGGTCAATTTAGAGTCTCCTTATGAACCTGCTTGGGATGCTATCCAAAGCCATTCAGAATACATTAATCTTAGGATGAGGCACTGCTACGAGGAGCACAAAGTTGCTGAAGCGATATTCATTGAAGAGATAAGTAAAGCTAAAGGCGGTAGTTCTACCTCTAAATATTCGAAGTTCAACCAGCCACCTCAGGATTTAAGCTCCATTCCAGAAAACGTGCTTTTCATCGAAGATTTGTGCGAGATTGTCTCTGAACTGTTTCCAGATTTATGGAAATTGGGTCAGGCCTATTTCACTGGTGATTTACACGTGAAAGTTGAACCTGGACGTCAAGTAGGATTTAAGGTGAAATAGGGCATAAATACAATTGAAGTATGAATAACCGGATTAACGTTTCAGCACATTGTACTAAGCATCATGGAAGCGTTTTGCAAGACGTTAAGGTCGGCAATCATTCCTCACACGCTAGATAAGAGTACGGATAAAGCGACTTACGGTACCTGGTCTACACCGGACAGTGATACTATCAAACCTTGGCTACCAGCATGCCTGAGATACGTGCGATCTACTTACTCGATCCTGATTAAATTGGATTTACCAAGTGAAGCTTTGGATATTGTGTTCAAATTCATATTAGATTTAAGAATACATTGCATGAGCGTTCTATTTAAGCAGGCCTCAGACCAGATTGAACAATTGTCCAAACAAGAAACGTGGAAGATTGAATTCACCGGCAAACACAACGGCGTCACGGAATTGGTAATTGATATGCTTCAAACTATATATTAACTTTGTTTTATTAACACTTTTGTTCATCAATCAGCCCATAAAGTTTGAGCAGTCTGTGCAAGAGGTAATTCAGATAGTCAGAGAATCGGTTTTGTTGAGCGAACAAAGGGAAGGGTCGTTGCTCGATAATCCGACCGCAAACAAAGAATTAGATAAACAAGTTGATTCTCTCCTTTCGATGTTCCATAAAGTACTCAGCAATCTCTCGCTGAAAAAGGATAACGACGATGATGACGAATGCACAACCGTTGTATCCCAATTGATAGGCACTCCGACAGCATCATATCGCACTCATAATTCCAAATCCCAATTACCAATTTGGGAGCACAGACTGCTGACGACGCTATCCAACTGCCAGTATACAAGACTAGTTGTACTGAAGAACTTAGAGGAAGGATTTACCAAAGGCGGATATCCTGCGCCAAAAGTAGCCTTGGATAATTGCTGTAGCAAATTAGAAGCATTAGAGAAAAGCGTGCTCGAATTGTATTTAGAAGAAAAGAGCGACCCACTTGTAGGCACAATAGAACCATCCATGTATTTAGAAAGATTTGATTGGGATACTCAAATCAAACCCACGGATGTTAGACCTTACGTCAAGGAGTGCATCAACAACTTAATACACGTTCACAGCGAAGTATATAAAATAAACTCTAAATAGTTCGGCATAGCAATTCTGGATATATTTATTTTAGGTGAACAGCATTTCGCCAACACTTGTCAATAGCGTATTGCCACAAGTTGTTCAAACAATCTCTGAGGAAATTTACAGACTTATGGTTTGCGTTCAGAAGTTTAGCAAAGCTGGTATTCTGCAAGCCAGAGTCGATATAAATACGTTGCAGCATTTTTTCCAAAATTATTCGACATCGAAAGCCAAGTATTATTTTAAGGAAGCCCTCGATACTATTCCCGCGCTCGAAACTTCGGAACAATTGTAAATATATCTAAAATGTATCTAGAAAATTATTGAATATTCTCATCTTTCTCAGGATAATCGAGGAAATATTAAAGGTTTGTAAGAAGAGGATGAAGCTACAAATATTGTGCCTACAACAACCAATCACCAACGGAGTACTCAAATAGCTTTACTCAGATATTTATTTACAGTTTGTATATGTGTAAATAAATTTTATTGTATATAGCGAGACTGTGAAAATACACTTATCTTTTTAGATTAAACTATTAAACCAAATGGTATATACTTATTGTAAAGACAAATATAGTGAATTTTAAGAGCTTCATATATTTTCTTTTGTATAATCTTTAAGTTTCTGTTAATTACTAAATAAAACTGCATTATTTCGTTTATTATATTTATTCATTTTTTTATTTCGCTAACCAAATGTAGTATTTTTGCAGCCTGAAAATTCAGTTTAAAATATTTGTATCCTATATTATAAGTATAATTTAAAGTTGTCCGATTTCTAAAAAAGCAGCGATTTTTAACAAAACACTATTCACTTTTAAACCAATTTCTACAGATCGAAGATGCCAATAGTTTCGTTGAAAAGGTGAGGTATTCAGATTTAAATTGTATGGTCGATGATGTAATTATCTTCCCAAATTGAATTGAGAATGAAAATAAAATACTTAATTTTGATAACTTATAGTAGATACTTTGGTACTGACCAAACCACAATGGTGGCAGTTGGCTCATTTGAAAGGTTGTAGTTTTCGCTTTAATTTGTGTATTTGATGGTTTTTTTAATGAGTGGTAATCGACTAATTTAAAAATCGTGAAGGTATTACAGCAAATTGAAAAAAAATAGTTAAATAAATGGTTATATTAATAAATATTATAAAATATTAATTTACTGTTTTAAAGAATAATTATTTCGCTTTCGTTTGCTAAAATACGTTAGTTTTGGTCAATTAATAAGAATTATTTATTAATTTGGTCAATTAATTATTAAGCTTTAATGAGGTTTTCGCGAAATACAGGCCATTATCTAAGACGTTGTTTTCCTATTTATTCATCAAAGTGTATATGTTTGTTTGGTTGAATGCACTTTAGGCGCAAAATATATTTTCCATTTTTTCTGACAGCTAGCGCCATCTGTTAGCAATATTTCAAAGATTGTAGTTCAGGCATTTTGGCGCTGCATAAAATCCAATTCGTTAAAATGTTCTAATTTTAATAAACAAACATATCAGAATAGTGCTTGAATTAATATTATGTTATTAGTTTAGTCTAATAATTTAAATGCTAATTATTTTTCGAGTTTTATGCGTTTTAATTTCCACAAGCATAGACAACTTTCGAAATATTTAAGAAACATTCTGCAACCAAACATACATATAAACTTTGATGAACAAGTAGGAAAACAACGTCTTAGATAATGGCCTATATTTTCGTAAACATGAGCTACCAGAAGAATGTTATATATGAATGTTGATCTTGAATATACACAGATTAAAATAAGCGTAAATATTAGTTTGTAGCTGCAATGATGTCTTCATAATTGATTAACAAACTTTGGTATTTCACAAATGAGTTGGGGAAAATAACGTCTTAGAAAATGGCCTGTATTTTCGTATACACCAACTCTCAGAAGAATTTTGTGCATTAATATTGATCTTAAATATACAGAAATTAAAATGAGTATAAATACAGGCTTGTAACTACCATATCTTGGTCACAATTAATTATCAAACTTTAGTATTAGATAGTTTGGAAAATAACGTTTTTCGAATATGTCCTTTATTTTCGTATACACCAACCCTCAGAAGAGTTTTGAACATTATTGTTGATCTTGAATATAGAGAGATTAAAATGAGTATAAATATAGGTTTGTAACTACCATAGCTTTGTCACAATTAATTATCAAACTTTGGAATTCGATAGTTTGGAAAACAACGTTTTGGAAAATGGCCTATATTTTCGTAAGCACTTTCTTCTAAAAAAATGTTGAACATGATTGTTGATATAAAATATACAGAGATTAAAATAAATGCAAATAAACATTGATAGTTCTATAAAATACTTTTAGTCTCTTTCTGGGGATTTGATGAAAATTAACATTTTTGTTTTTCCAGTATTTTCAATGCATCTAGCATTCAGAAAGGTTATCCAGTCTCTACTGATCATGTACAAAGCAACAACAGAATCATGGGTACTACAGGGTTCATAGTTGTTATTCATCTGCTAAATGAAGTAATGTTTTTCAGCAGTTAAGAATTCCACTATTTGCAAATGAAAACTGCTAGTAAAGAATGCTTTCCATTTTCTAGGGAACTTAAGATCATCAACTATACATTAGAGGCATGTTCCTATCAGCTCCACCTAAAATAATAACAATTGTACCAATGATTGTTGACTACTTACATTTTGACTATTAATAATTAATGCACATTCTTATATGAAGACACTGTTTCATGTAAAAGATTTTAAGAATTGTTCCTACTTAGCTTCAGTTTCTGTTGTATATTTTCTGAAGATAAAGTGATCGATGGTTGTTTACATTGGTACTTGCCCGAAGTGAAATGTGAAGTTCAGAGATAGGTTTTCCATACAAAGAAAAAGATGAAGGAAGCAATGGAGCATGTTGTTCATTAAGTGTGCATTCAGAACAATGTAGAATAAACTGTAACAATAACAGTTCGCTCACTCACCCAAACGTAAAATTCAAAAATTCAAATTTCAACCAATCAGGAACGACCGATCCTAGGAGCTCAGATACCTCCTCGCTACTCATGGTCTCCTAGTACAAATCGAAATTTTCTGGCATATTCGAGAATCGATGTGGGGGTTTTGATTCGCGAAAACCGCCAACTCATTAAAGCTTAATAACTTTCTTATTAATTCACCAAAACTAACGTATTTTATAGCAAACGAAAGCGAAAGAATTACTCTTTAAAACAGTAATATTTTATAATATTTATTAATATAACCATTTATTTAACTATAAAATTTGTAAAATTTATATAAAAATGTTACGTACTATAATGTCTTATATTTACTGAATAAAGTAGATAAAAATATTTAGTTTCATAATTATTAACGTATTCTTCATATGTAGTTTGACTATTATTTTGGGATATGCGAAATTTATATTTTGATAAACAATTTGTATTTAATTATTGAATATTTGTGAAATATATCAGAATAGCGTAACTAGGATTTGAAAGAGTCGCGCTTTGACGAAGGATGTCGCGAGGAGCGAATGCGCCGGGTAGGTCTCTACACAGCTGTAAAACACATTAATAACACTTCTATTGCAGAAGACAGTCCATCATGTCGTGATGGCATAATTAATTATTCCAAAATAAATTAAATTGTGATTTGTTGACCCGTCTGCTGGGCACGACAATAAAAGATAGGTAAATTCATTTGCATTGATGTTATTACTCTTACCTTTTGCATCTTCAGCTCTATATCAACGACAAATATAGAAAGCAAAGACAATTGTTGCATTGTATTAACTTCTTCTTTTATGCTTGCTTACCTTTATATGTATGACCTAGAATTAGATAGTTGGTTTCATGTAGTTAATAAGAAACAAATGACATCTATGCTATGACTTTATTGTTACACATATATTATTGAACATTTCATTAGATAAACATTATATCGAGTACAGGATGATGATGATGAGTTTATGATGACAAGTGTTACTTCCCTACCCATGTAACTCTTTTTAGGCGGAAGTATGGATCTGAGCGAAAAAGTGTCTATTTCTACGAGAAAATTTAAATGTATTGGTCAGACTTGTAATTTAATTGGAAACGTTCCTCTCTGCGTGCGAACTTATGGTTTAGTTATTATTATTTATTTATCTTTTTTATGTTATTATTATATTTTTTTTCCTTCTCCTCTCTTTTGCTCTTCATTTTTCTTTAAATACAATTTAAATAATGAAACTTCTAACAGTTCCCACATTGCTGTTATTATATTAAGATTACTTTTATGTTCTGGCTATGTTCTAAAGCCATAGCTGCGTTAACAATTTATTCCTGACTAATGTCAACATATACAAAGCGCTATACATTATATACAATAAAACATAATATTAATCAACGTAACTGTCGCATCATCTTGGGTTAGCTACACATCAAATTCAGCCTTAAACACAGGTGATGGGACTGGGATGATTACAGCATTACACTGTATGTACATTATTATAACTAATACAGATACAATATGACCAATGTAAAAAAGCCCATATTTTCTTTTCAAAATATAATAAATATATGCAAAGTAATGTAATGGCAGAAGTTCAGTGGGTTGGGGGGGTGAGACTTTGTTACATTGGCACGTTCACAAGATTATGTCTTTTCTTATTTTTTTTCGTCTTCACTTAGATATAAGTAATTAAAAATAAACCTTTTTTTTTATATTTATATATATATAGATATTTATACTGTATATACAATTGAATTCATTTTATTCGTGCAGGCTACCTTTTTTTTCTTTTCCACGTTAATTTCCTCAAAAAGCACTAATGTAATCAAGACCCAGTAACTTTGATGGCGGAAAAGGTACTAATAATAAATTAATTATCGTTTTCATTCTCTTAGTGTATATACGTACAATAAATAGGGGGCCAATGTTAACTGGGACTTTTGGAAAAGTTACATACATGCATAGAGATGGAGAGATTACAGTCGGGGGAGGTTGAATAGATATCGGTATCCGAATTGGTGACAACAGTATTTATCAATTACAGAAACACACACCCTCCTCCGGATACACCTTAATTCTTAAATCTGCTTCTTTAAATATGTTCTTTTATAGATAGATGATCGTTAATAATATACATTGACGCGATTTCTTATTATTTTTTTCTTCTTCTTCTTCTTCTCTTTCACTAAACATCTTAAATACTATGTAATATCACTCTAGGGCTCAAATCGTCTCATTCAATTGTCCATTTGAGAGCCCGAGAATCCAGTGAAAACAGCTACGAGTTTTTTATATCGTTTTAAAGAATAATACAAAAGGGCAAAAAAATATATATGTATAAATAGTAATGACTCGAATTACTCACATCTCGTAATAGACTACTCGTATATATATATATTTATTTTTTTCGTCTTATTCACCTTTTTTCTTCTTCGTCTACGCCTTCCTCGTTCTCTTCTCCTTTGATATAGATATATCATACTAGTGCGTGTTTCTTCTTTCTTCATTACCGTTTCTCTTTTTGTTTTATTATTTTTTTCTTAATAAAATAGTTCATTACTATAAAATTATCACTTTCCAATCAAATCATTCATTCTCTGAGCTTACTTATAATTACTATGACCGAAAGTTTGATCAAGGAATCACAGATATACACTTGCAAATGCAGGTTCTTAACTGTCCCCATATTGTGGCAGGACGAGAGTCCGAGCGTTGTAAGGGTCGTGAGGATAAATGTCGGGAGGTTCGAGATGGCACACGACGGTTTCGCCATCCAAGACGGCGGCTAAAGAACGGGCAGCATCGCCCCGGTACATGTTTCGACGACTTTGGTAAACGTCCATTTGGCCATCAAGGCAGGAATGTATGCTTCTATCGTTGGCGGGACTGTAGGGGATCAGAGGTCGATGGTCACCGTAAGATCTGGACGACTGTCGACTCATGTCGCTCTGTCTCTTCCCATCTTCATCGCTCATGTCGGACACCTGTATCTCGTTCCGTTCGATCTCCTCGTAAACAGGGTCATCCTCCGGTACCTGTCCCCTCTGCATCCTGGCATCGTGTATCTCGGTGTAAGTATGGTTCCAAGGGCTGGTGGCCCTCAGCAGGCTGCCGTTCTTCTTGCGCATCCCATGAGCCTGCGGCAACGGTAGATGCTTCGGGTGCGGCAACGAGTCGGTCCGTCTTCCGTATTCCATTTGTAGATTGTTGGCAATTGCGTGGTTGTACTCGGAAATGTATGGTTGGCGACGCGTATCTTTGGTGCTATTCATTCGTCCATCGGTGAGCATTGCGTGAGATCGTGGAGAATCTTCTTGTTCCGAACCTCCGTGGCCAGAATCCCTACTGTAGGACTTAAAAGAAATGTTCTGTGAATGATAAAGTAAAAAAAAAACAAATAAAAACGGTGATCTCGCAAATAACTAAATAAATGTAGTAGTAATAGAAGTAGAAGTAAGATTATATGATTTATATACTTGGATGATAGATATGTAAGTGAAAGAAGTGTTTAAAAAAAATATACATGAAGAGGATGGATACTAAATAAAAGCTACGACAAGCATTACCCAAAAACATAAAACAAGTTTCGTCATTTCAGCAGCAGATGATCTGCACTGATGAGACTTGTCTTATTTTACAAACCTTCCAGTGTAGAGGGTTATGCAGAGGCCCCCAAGTAGAAGCAGACTTAGGTAGGTTAGCATTGACAGCAGATTGCTTATAGAAGTTACGAATGTAAGGTAGAGTAGAGGTGTTGGGGGGCTCTACAACTGCAGCCCCCATTCTCTGTGGTCTGCATAAAGTAGCAGCCATTGTAGAAGCGGGTACAGTAACTTTGCCTACCCGGTTCATACTGGTGCAACTGCGAGAATTCCAATCCCGTTGTAACTGTAACAGATCGAGGGGATTCCTTCACCAATTCACCAATTACCAAAAGATACATTCATCCAAGCAACTCTACTAGTCAGAGTGTGTTAGATTAGCATAGAGCGAAAGAAGCAAGTTAGTAGCAGTGAAGAATCAAATTACCACCAGCGAACATGCGTAGAAAAAGGGATGCACGCAATGCACGCACCACCACTGCACCACTTTAGTTAGTAAGCAAACAAAAAAAAGAGACCATTATGTAACAACTGAGGGTATAGAAATATACAATATAAAACTCTTTTCAAAACTGTACCTAGAAAGATCATTACCAGAGAAGAACCTCTTGAAAAAGGAACAACTGAATGCGTGTTTCTGTTTCAATCAATCAAATGAATCTTTAAACAGCCAATGTTAGAAACAAAAACCAACTTTGTTAAAGTGAAATAAAAAAAAATGAGAGAGAAGTCGTGAAAAAGCAAAATAATAAAAGAGAATGCTAAAAATATGTTAAAACCACTAAACAGGAAAAGCATTGACTGTTTGAAGAGTATTATCGCAAGGCCACTCTCTGTTAATTCGTTCTAACTCTTTCTGGCCGTAGGTACCTTGTTGAGAAATATTATGTAGTCTGTTGTGGTTCATCGTGGTGGTACTAGCATTGTTGAGGTCAGTTCTAGTGAGAACTTGAACCAACGCAGTGGGACGCACGTTATTAAGATTATTGGAGATGACAATATTGGTACCCACACTTGTTCCATGCGGCGAAAGTACATTGTCCACGGAAGGAGCGGACGGGTTTCCGTTAGATCCGGCATATAAACTAGTGCGACCTTCCTTGCCTAAACCTGAGCTGCCGCTACCGCTGCTGCTAGACGTGTTAGGCTTGGAACAACGTAGGCATTTCGGCAGCCACGAGTGGTTCCTGATAAACTTCCGATATTCCTTGCGGACCTGAGCAGAAACAAATTCGGAAACCGTTGAAGAACAACAACAAAAAAAAAACAAACAAATACAAAAGTAACAAATATAAACGAATATTTCCTGAGAACTCAGAACAAGTGCAACTCAAACTAAAACTAGTGCACCTCATGTCAGATAACTTTGCAACGTTTCGAGGGTGGCCTCCTACATGGATCGTTGGCTAAAGGCAAGATCAAGAAAACGGAATTCATAAGATAACAACGGTATCGTGAAGCGAGTGAAACTTTTTGAAATGGAAACGGGGTCGAATTCCCAGGGAAGTTTATTTATTTCTATTCGACATTACATCCTCGTTCAGTCGGCGACCAACAAATTCATAAATATACTTCACATCTACGGCCTTCGAGACTTCGAGATTACATTAGCACAATGCAACACGTTTTATTACAAACTACACTCTCTTTTCAATAAAAATTATCGGTAATAACGAATAGTTATCGGATATATAATTTGTTGAATTACAAAAGTTTCTTACCTTTTCGTTCTGAACGCAATGGAAGATGAAAATGAAAAATCCTTGCAGCGTGTTGAGGATAGCGAAAATGTATGCCATGACGACTGTCTCCTTGTCCAAATAGAGGAATCCGAATGTCCAAGTCAATCCCAATAGAAATACCAACACTATGGCACCCTTAATCCAACTTCTGTAAACGCAAACATTGCATTAATTAAATATGTACGTACACACGTAGACATAGCATGCATTCGACAATGACAACAAATTATAGAGCCGAGCGCCGGAATTGTATGAAATAGAAATTCACGCATTGCATTTTATTGTTTACCGACAACTTCATAAATGCGTCCGCAAACAATGAAATTACATTTAAATACAATTTTAGTTTGATTAGGATTATTTGATATTTATACAATTGCCGCGCTGTTTACACTGCGAGCGTCAACAATAATAACGCCATGCAGAATTGGAAAGAAATCAACATGCATACATTAATTGGGCTGCAAACGATAATGCGAAAACCGAAGCGTTCGTTAATGATTAACCGAAAACACAACAAATTGCAAAATCAAAATGACTAATATTGTTTATCAATTAAATGTCGGGGATAATATCTTACAGGTGAGCATGGATTTTGGTTTGAAGTGCATTTTCTTCTTTTCCACTACCATAGAGGTTAAAGATCGCCATGCAAGAAAAAGAAGAAGACATTAGGCTGTGACCAAACATATCTCGTGTATAATTGAATAACTCGGATTTACAAGTAACTTATAATAATTAGACATGCCGACAGAAGAGGTACATAGAGACAAATCAAAAAATAGAAATGTTTATTGCGAACGCATAGTTTTCAATAATGAAATAGAAAACTGAGTAATTAAAATGTAATTGACAACGGGGAGTGAATGGTATGTAATATGTGAGTGCATGAAGTGGATGGAGAGAGAAAATGGAGATGGAGCGAGATAGTAGAGCAAAAGGAACAGAGAGGAAGGCATTTATTGGCATTTATAATTGAACCGTTTCAATTCTCTTTTTAATTATATCCGAACTATGCGACAGCATAAAATGAAATAAAAAGAACCGAATCGTCATCGGCAAACCGGAACGCAGGACTGAACCGGCGATGAGGAATTGAGTTATTATAATGAAATACCTGGTGCTGGCGAGTCGCGACTGCTCCTTGTTCTTCATCGATACCGTGGCGTTGGCATGTCTGCACATCTTGGTAATTGCCATCAGCAGGAAAATCAGGTTGAACTAGAAACGGCACCGTCGACAAACAAGGGATACACGAAAACAAAATAAGAACGAGCAAGTTATTAGAGAGTGCATTTCGAATACAGTTGTATAGAGGAATTGGAAAGTGAAACTCACCAGTAGAACGGCGCCGACGGGCACGACGAAGCTGTAAATGAATTGGTTGCCTGGACGTAGCCAGCAGTACTGTTCTGTTCCGTAGCCGTGCGAAAAATTCACCAGAACCGAGATGCCTACAATCAGCATAGGTGCACCGTAAGCAATTATGTAGTACCATCGGACACGCGACTTCTCCGCTTCGAAAACTTCGATCAGCATCACGTAGAGGTGGAAGCCTAAAAAATAAAGATTATTTGTTTCGATATTTGTTTATTTATTTATTTTGTGCTAAATAGAAATACCTTCGAAGAACATCCAAGCGAATGCGCAGAGGAATACGTATTGCATGACAGCTGCAATGACACCGCAAGCAATTTGATTCTCCGTTCTACCTATACCAGCCAGGAAGAGGACTTCTGCGATGAGGAGGCAGACGCACAAGTTTGAATGGATGGTGGTCCGGTCGCTCTGTAGAATCAATAAACAATCAATGAATCCGTAATCTGGTGTTGCCGTTTGAACGGATTCGTTGACAGATTCGTGCATCCGAGTGCTTACCTTCAGCCCCCTGAATAATTGGAATGTAATTATAGCCAGTATTAGGCAGATGACGGATATGATGCATCCGACGTAGGTAACGATCTGCAGCGCGAGTTGGTGGCCCGGAGGCAGATACACCGATCTGACGTCCATAAGGATGGCAAAGTTCGTCAGATGGTTGCAGAGGCAAGTGGTGTGCGTGTAGTTTGTGCCTTCCACGTGGCATCCTTCCTCTGACCACGCGTTACTCGTGTAATCCCAGAAAACGCAGCTGGGATTGGTGACGTTGTCGGTCTGCAGATGCCTCAGGGTTAATCTAACAGGTTCCCTGAGCTGGATGTGCCTGCCTTTGCCCAAGCTGGCCGAAATAATTTTGCTGTTCAGTATGCGGGTCAGATTCTTGCCGGAATTGGCTTCCGAGGAGTCGGGATGCCACTGCAGGATTTCCTCGAGTCTATCGAACGCGACGAAAACCAGCCGCACCAAACTACCGTCGCTGTTATCGAGCAAAGGCACTTGCGGCAATTCTATCGTGTCATTGCTCGCAGACCATTTATTGGCCGATGGGAATCTCTCGGTTGTAACTGTTTTAGTGTCCAGCACACGCACGGACAACACTGAAATTCGCAGGAGAAGAAACAGAAAACAAAATAAAAATGAAAGCCAATTTAAAATGAGGGATGGATCTTCGTGTTCGGAGTCATCCCTCAGCTCGCTATCTCTCGCCTGGCTGACCATTTATTCGGGCCGCCGCGGCGAGAGCAAGGGCGAAGGAAAAAATGAGAATGGAGACGGGGTCGACGTGAAGAGTGCAAAACTTACTTATGTTCTTTACGACCTGGTCAACGGTTTTTTCCCTCATCACCGTGTCGGCTAGCAGGAAAGCGTTCTCCTCTAATCCGATTAGCAGAGACGTGGCGACGCGCATTTGCTCCTGATGGCTGAGGTCGCGCCACGAGGGATGCTGGGAGAAGTCCAGCAGATTGCTTCCTGTGCGCACGACATCGCTCAGCAGCTCCGTGACGATGACCTCGCGCTGTCTGGGGTCGGAGAACGTCTGGATGTCCATTGCCATCTTGTGGGCCATCGATTTAATTATCTTCGTGGTGATCATCATGTCTCCGCCGTACAGCGTCTTGCTGGTGGTGACTTTCGCTAGGTCACTGGTAATGGCTAGCAATTTATCTTCGTCGGAGGAGATCCGTTGCTCTAGGCTAGTTAACCAGAGGGATCGGCACTCGCTCAGATCGGGCGTCAGTGTGGACCACTGAGATTCGGCATCGGTCCTAATGCACTTCCAACGGGCAAATCCGGTCGTACCGCCAGGACACGGCTGCACGCTGATATCCCCGGCCCGGGTCCAATTCCAATATATGTTCCTCAGTATTACGGGACTACAGTAATCCAGGTCATTATCGCCAGGAACAGCTGGGATGAGGCTAGGAGACGGCACATACGTATTTACAGCGGAAACGGCGCTGCTATCTACTGAAAAGAGGAATCCGCGATCATATCGTATCCTTTTCGCATCCAGGCTTTCGCTATCAATCTTACCAGTATACTTTTTCGGATGCGCGGTGGTAAATGCCACGCTCGTGATTTCGTCTGGTATTTTCTGCGGGAGTTCGGCCCCTTTGCCGTATTGCTGCTGCTGCTCTTGTCGGTCCTTGGTCCTCTCCCTAATATCATCATCTAATGCTGATATTGGGGGCTGGACGGGTATAGGCTTCAGAGACGTCGACGTGTGGATGGACAGGCTTGGTGTCGTCGGCGGTTTCGGAGGTGGAGACGTTACAGTACTCACTTTCGGAGGTGGTGGCGGCGGAGGCCTAGCTGACGTCTTGATCGTGCTCCACATGGGAGGTTGCGACGTGATCAACCAAGGCGGACTAGGCCTGTTTGTCGTCGTCGTCATCGTGGCTATAATTATTCCCAATAAAAAATAACTATTCCTCTGACAAAAGATAGAGTAGCATGCGAGTGATACGCACGCAGTGATAATGGAGACAAACATAAAATACCGACGCTAATGCGAATTGTAGAAACGGAGGAAGCATTTAATACGTTTGAAGATTAAATTGAGCTTGAATGATCAAAATGGTATAAATGGCAAATACGCGTTATTAACATAATACTCTTGTGAACATCAAACGCTCGCGCGTATAGGGACGACGGTGGGGTTGGTTGTTTGCAACCCCTTGCCGCATCAAAACACAATGCGCGCCGTCGTTCTTATTTTATCATGTCGTAACTTACCAGGAGCACATTGGTAATGCGCCTCTAGGTACTTAAGGGTACCAGGGCAAGGGTCGCCAAACATGCTAGTGCTGGCCGGGATGCTGCAGTTCTGTTTATCGTAACACCTGGTGGACGAAATGAAAATTCAAATAAATTCAAACAATCGGAACACTTTCAAATACTTCCTCGTGTTTCTGTCTAAGGGTCTGTATCTTTTCTATTTGTTTGTTTCTTTCTTTGTTTGCTTTGTATGTTACATGAATTACGCAAATAAAACTTTAAAGAAAATGACGCGCGGTAAAAATGATGATCGTTTTGCGTTTTGAAACTAACCGTAACACATAAAATGAGCCTCGACGTATTTTACGGTTCCCGGACATGGGTCTCCATCAAATACATCATTGTTGACATCAATAGTGCAGTTCGTTTGCATAGAGCATCTGAAATAAATAAAGTCTGAGAGAGACCGCAATGGAACGCAATGGATTTTCCATCATGCCAAATGTTAATTTATTTGTTATTGGTACAAAAACATGAAACGAAAAACAAACTTCAACATGTATGAAGCGCAAACCATAGTAGTTATAAAATGCCCCCACAAATAAAATGAAACAAAGGGTTTATATGAAATTCAATGATTTTTGGTAACATACATAACAGCAACAATAAAAAGAACACAAAACAAAACGAACAAAATATGATAGACACCAGCCAGAAACGTAAGGAGTAAAAACACATTTTTAACAGTGATTGGTAACAACGAAAATAATTAAACACAGCGTACACACACACACACACATATACACATACAGCGCAACGCATGGTCGACAATGGTTTTGTTGCTTGTTAGGTAATGATCAAGTGTGAGAGGCGACGTTGTTAATTAATAAAATCTGCGCCCTGGATGCGCGGATAATTGTTTAGCTTTTTCAAACCAAACGGAATGGGAGAGAAATAATGAGTTAGTAGTAATATAAAGCCATGTGTCATTCCTCCAACCCTCCCGGTATACTTTACCTGCTGTGTAGGACTCGTAGCGACTTCGCTGACATACAGTTGACACTCCAGTCGGTGTTTCCATGGTCGTTGCAAATCGTGATAGAGAAACGGCCGTAGTTCGCCCGTATCAATTTAATCAGCTCCCCATCTTTACATTCGATCTTTAAAATCTTCCCTTCGCAAGCGTACGCCGTGTCGTATCGTATCGACACTTCTGCTGAAACCAAACGAAACCTTGATTAATAAAAATGCTAATTTAATATAATATAACTACAACAAAAGCGGATGATGAAGCGGAGACAAGGATTGCATTATAATCTATAAGCAAGTGAGGAACGCTGTGGTGAAACGATTCGTTTTGCGGTTTATCCGTGTAAATAGTCCAACTAATTACGGTCCAGTGCTCAAGCACAAAAAACACGCGTTTTCTCTCATTTATCCTTAATTTATCATTATTCATAGCTCAATGCATTTTCAAAAGATAACTGATGATCCTATGTCACTTCTAACAAAGATATAATTCATATTAACATGAATTATACCAGAATAGAATTTTTCAATAAAAACTTTAAATTATACTAAATTCTCGATATAAATGAGTTAAAATGTAATCTGTAATCATCAAATATAAATCTTGAGAAGTTGAATATGTTATGTCGTCTTTAAGGTAGACATGGTTGGCAAGAAAGCTTACATGTCAACCAACCAGATATCGATAGCAAATGGAGGAAAATTGAATGCATTAATTAAATAATGAATTCGAGTGTTCAGACTTGCAGCATTGAATAATTGAAGGGACGGCAAATCGATCGTTGTCGTTCCGTTGTTTGTTTGTTTGTTTATTGTTGGCTGTTTTAGGTGATTGGGGTGGTGGTGGAGATGCATTGAACGATTTTTGATAATATGATGGAACAATAACAAATTTATGGATCCATCATGGTTTTACGACCGTTTTGTGCGGCCAGGGCGAAAATATCTATGGTTTTTACAACGAGTGAGAGAGAGGGGGAGACCTGGTGTGAAGTAATGTCTCGGTAATGGGTTAATAAAATGAATTATGGCGTCCGAAGGACAAAAATGCGGTCCCCGGGACGCACTTTAGAAGATGGCCGCGTTATGTGCGCTCGGCCGAAAGGGCAGAGCCTCAGAAATTGATAGTCATTATTTCTAGGATCGTGATAGACACATATACGTCTCCGTTGATAGCGAACGCAAGTCACTGAACCGTTAGCAGAGTTAAATCAATGCCTGTATATGTTTATACTTTGATACCTTATCGAAGCGCAGCACAACACCACAACGAAATCTACAAATACCCTTCGACAGAACGAAAAACTATATATATATATTTATCCATTGCGTGCGGTTGTATTCATTCCTCGTTTTGCACCAACTTCGGCAACAAAAATTGATATACACGTGCAAAAGAAAACAGGATTCCAGATGGATCCGATGCAAGCGAGATGTCTCTAGAGAAATTAATGGACCGTACGGCGGACGAAGATGGAAGGAGCACAGGCGATGGGGGCAGGAAAAAAAAGCCAACCAACGAGGAGGAGGATGAAGAAGAGGAGACCGAGCTGTGCCCTAATCCCTGAATGGAACAGCATAAAAATTGCTTATTATTAACTTTAATTAAAGTTTCTTATTAATTTTTCATCAAACCCACGAGGAGCGAGATAGAAAGGCAGAGGCACAAAAATTCCCCCCAATTATTTTTATCGAGCAATCCGGATTCATCCTAATCCCAGGGTAAATGGGATTTATAGTGCCGCTATAAATGTGTTTGCGCTGGAAACTATAAATTCACAAGAGGAAGACATCTAACGATTTCCTAGGGATGAAAAAAAAAAGACAGCGAATCACCCTCTTCGCTGTGATGAATTCGAAAGTTTTAGAGACACTGGCATCTCACTCTTCATTGTCTCCTTCATTACAAGCAGGAATTAAATTACCTTATTTTCTTTATACAATCAATTTGAAATTATTTCATAATATTTTTTTTTAATTTATTTTTTTAGAAATGTAAATCCACAATGTTACACAACAAAATATTAATGAATAATTTTCAAATTGGAAAGTTTAAGAAACACTAGACGTTTTCAATACGAGCATACGCTTTTGCTTGCTTACAACGCGGGAAATGATTTAGTGCAAATGCCATTGATTAAACTGTTGCGCAAAACCTATGCATTATATACGCCGCAGATCGCGTTCAGCAATTCTGATATTATTTTTTCTTTATTTTGGCTTGAGAGGTGTTGTCCTTACTTCACGCCGCAATAAATCCGATTTTATTGAAAACAAGTTATTTTCATAGCGATATTTATTGCACTTCCTTCAGCGTCGAGGCGCTAAATACGTTTCTCAACAAATAAATCAATTTTTGAACGAAAATTTTCCCAACGTCTGTTCTCTTCTTTCTCCCATTCTGAGCTCGGAATGGATATAAACCGACGTCAGATGGGAATTTTTACTTTGTTCGGAGAGCGCCGAGCCCTTCTGCTCAGGTAGATCTAACAATAACCTTAGAAATGAAATCACCGAAGAATGGAACGGACACTAATTTACTCCACTAATAAAACGACTTATGGTTATACCAATCTCGAGCTAATACTTCCATTTTTTTTCATTCAGCTTAACGCACATTAAGATCAAATTAATTTTCAATCATTGGGATAATTATTAGATATAAATTTCAATTTTTCAAATATCGCTCGAATATTTAACCTTTTATATAACTGAATAAAAAAGGTATTTCTAAGTTTATGTTGTAATAAATATTATTATGTTATTCATATAAAATAATTAGGTTTGAAGATGAATAGGTATTTTACCTTACCGAATGCATTATTATATTAATAAGGTGAAGTATGAGTATAATACGCATCAAGTCTGCTCATTTAATTCGTTACAAGTGGCATTTTGAAGATGAACGTTATACACGGTTGTAAAACTCTAGTTAATTTAATGTACGGTAAGAATACAGAATGTTATTATATATTTTTAAAGTAATATACAATTGTTGTTGAGCATTTTTAGCTCAGTGGATTTGTAAAATGGAGCTGCGCTAATTTGAAATGGAGCGAGGAACAGGAACAAAACAAGCTAGGTATTAGGTGTTTTCAGTTTGGAACGAGAAGCTGAGGAGTTTTAATGGCGGAGAAAAGAGAAGATGTGGGAGCGATAGAGAGAGAAAGATCCACAGGTATGTACGAGGAACGCCGTGGTGCGGGAAGAAAAGTGGCTTTATTTAATTCTGAATGGGTAATTAGAGCATTTTACATGCGTCGCTCGGCTCGTCGTGGGAGTTGCGCGACTCCTCGAGGACGAAACCGCGAAAACCGTCCGGAGGCCAATTTTAAACGATTCCAATTAGGAGAGACAGAAAAAAAGAAGAGAAATAAAATGAAGATGAATAAGAAGAATGAAGTAAGGAAACTCAACGTTTTGGTAGGGAAATAAAATAAAGCGGACACCTGTCCCTCTTCCCCGCACAACCATCCATTCCTTTAGATGCGAATATTTGTTGGGCCTGGCGGGTGTTTTCGTTTAATTAAAAATCGAGATGAGGCATTAGGTGGATGGATACCGGCCGTCGCTTGTTGCTAAGGTTGCTCTTGGGTTGTTGGTTGGGTCTGTTGGTCTCGTCGAAGGCAAAGCTAAAGGAAAATATCGAAGGCAACAACGGCGTACCACACGTTGGTATGTGCCGTGAAGTGCCGAGCCCGAGCGGGGGAATATAAAGACAGCAAGAGGAGAGCTGGAATGTTGCTCGCACAACAGGTAATTACTAAACTAGATAGATGCAGCGTAATGTGTGAACTAACCGGGTGCCTTTTTATGAACGAACAACCAAAACGAAGCCAATAAAAATTCAGAGAAGAAAAACGAGTACCACGTAGGCAGTTGAAAAACACACAGCTATATGATCGTTCTATTAGGAATAGCGCAATTGTGTGCAGTGGCGTAAAGATTTAATTAATAAAAGCGGAAGAGCTATTCCGAAATGTATTCAGGATAGAAGCAGAGCGAAGACATAAAAGGATTTTATAGTTTTATCCAAAAACTTTTACGATACAACCGGATTATAGATTCGGGAAAATCCGTGTAATTACAATTGGAACTTCAGGCAAACTGAAAAAAAATGAAATAAACTGAAGAATACAAAAAAAAAACTGAAAATAATAAATGGCTTTCGAAAGAAAGAGTAGTGTAATAACAACGTTCAGCGTTAGATACGTATGTACCATGAATGGCATCCATTTTATGAGAGATTTAGGTTCGGCGGAATCGCGCTTATTTACGACGGCGAGTGGAAGTTTAGAACGGATGCATGATTTGTGATTTGCGGTATCGCCGGTATCGGGGTATTATGTGCTTTATGGAGCGGCAAAGCCAATCGAACCACTAAATTACAAATTAATTGACACTCCGCAATTAATGCTTCGCAATAATAATAACAGCGGCAATAATAATGATGATAATAATAATAATAAGCGTCGCTGCGGTTACGATGATGTTGATGATGATGATGATGATGACGAGGAAAGTTTCGACTGGACCGAAGCGGGGAAGAAAACCGGGCTTTCGGTTTCGGTTTCGGAAAAAGTGAACGCCTCTCCAGCAAGCCGCGGGGGCAGGGCGAGGCGGCGGCGGCAGCGGCGAGAAAAGAGAAGTAAGCGCAATAACTTGTAATTATGCAACGGCGCGCCAATAAAAGCTACGCAACTCTTGGGCGTTTTCCCTTCTGCCTCTCTTTGTCGCTCGGCGCTTTATATTTAATACTTCCATGCCGACGTACATGCATACACACACTCTGACTTACACACACGTATACGTAAACGGTCATACATTTGATATAACAAACCTACGTGCATTTAACTTTCAATAAACATTAAACTGGAATTAATTATCATCGACCTGGATGTGGTAAGAAGGTGGTTTTTGATAGTTATTCGCGTATGGTCAAAGATTGGTTCGCGGCGCGCGGAAAGCGCGCGCCTATCGGCCGAAGCCATCTAAGGTTCAATTACGTGATTAATGTACCATCCAGCGAAAATCGGTTGCGCAACACACAATGCAACGATTGCGATCTGCGATATTTTCAATTACCACTTTTTGGTCCTTTCTGCACAGGCAAAACCAAAACAATACGGAATTATTCCTCTCTCTCTCTCTCTATCCACTCCTCTCCAACCGTGTCCATTCGTTCCG